CTACCATGCCCGGCTGATTTTTTGATTTATTGTAGAGATGAGGTCTCGCTGCCCAGGCGGGTCTCGAACCCGCGGGCTCAGGCAATCTACTCACCTCAGCCTCCCAAAGGCACGGGATTACAGGCTGAGCCACCAAGCCCGGCTCTCAGATTCTTTTATAAGTTTTTTTTTTTTCCTCTAGAATTGAAAATAGTTTTTTGTCTAATCACTGTTCTATATCTAATATATGCTGTTATTCACAGCATTTTGATAGTGTTTTATCTTACAGGAAACCATACTTAGTAATTCACATTAGTGAACAGAGCTCCTTGTATTAGTATAGACAATTAACTGCACACTGTCTTGCTGTTCTCAGGCTGCAACTGGCTTTATAACTGGCTCAACAGATGTTTTAAAATCTTTAAGCACTATAATAAATTGGATAGAAAAATAGTGTGTTTTACTTAATTTAATTTACTGTTTGCACCCATCTGCTAGAAAATGCATAAAGGTTTGATTTCCATATAAATATTTTGTTTTGAAAAATATTGTATTTAATTAATGAACAAACCATGAGGTATATGTGTCAATAAAATATATTGCACATAATTGATACTAGTAAAGGGCAGCATAACTCAGTCTCTGAGTATTCTATCTAAACTTATGCTTTATACACTTGATAGCAAAAGTCTTAATTTAGTCTAATATTCTCTGAGGTCAGAAAAGTTGTCTATCTGGATTACTGCTATATCACTATCTTCTAGCCTGAAATATTAAACAACCAGTAAATTTTTAAATAAAATATACTAAAAATTTAATATTATTTAGCTATGTGATATGATATACAAGAGACTAAAGAAAACCATAAGAAATAATTATTTCTTATGTATTTAATATAGTATTTGTTACATGTAAATATCAATAAGTTTTCAAAATTTACTTTGTATTATAAGTAGATACTAAAATAATGTAAGTGATATATTGGGAAAAGATGGCATATTTTAAGTAGTTAAATTATGTGAAAGAATCTAAAGAAATTATAAACTTGAAAGATAGAGTATTTTTCAAATATGATCTGCGATTTTGAAATTTGTACTGGCAAATGAGAATAGTTGATCCAATATGGCAAAGTCTTCAGTCAATTGCTCTACATTTCATATTTGTTGCTTTGTTATATGATATTTTACTATTTGCCTGAATTTGAACCATATGGCACATTAATTTATCAAAATGCTGTATAATTATACATATGGGTTAGTTGACCATTTTGAACAATAGGACCCAATAAAAATCTTCTTCTGGTTTAAAAAAATATTCACAGCATTTTAAAGATATATTTCTTTATAAAAAGCACCCTGTACTGCAGGAAGATTAGAATTTTAATACCGCTCTTATTAAAATGTTCATTAGTTTTTTTAGCATTGCTTGTGAAGGTGTCTTTTATTAATTTATAATAAAAAGAATTACAAGTACAATTGCAAGTAAATTACAGACTATAGAGCAATTAAAATGAAATTATGGGCATTTATAACTTCTAGGTCATAATGCTGATATGAATACATGGTTAAAATATATATTTCCTAAAGATATAGTTCCTTTAATTGACTTTAATTGCATTTTTTGTCAGTACAAATGTAAAACAAAATTTTAAAAAATAAATTAAAATAAATAATAAATTAAAAACCAAAACTGTTCTAAAGCAGTATTTTTTCCAGATATCTGAAGGATCTACTTTTTTTATGCTTTATATAGGAAATATAAAACTTCTCAAATAAAATGTGAAATAGTTTAACAAAATAATAATTCTCAACTAAAGAGTAGTTCTCCTCTGAGAGGAAAGGTTGTCCTTTTGACCAAGTCTGTAACCTAGAGAATCATTGAGGGAAAAGAGACACTGGGTTGGTCAACAAGGATCAGCTGAGTCAACACTGACAGTGAATGGGATGATGGGTGTCACAGCCATATGGTATGAGAAAAATTATATTAGGCGTTGTCAAATACCATTGATAAATTCAGCAATCATTTCTAATCAAATTCTTAAATGGAACCACTGAAACAAAATAAGACCATTTTGTTTGAACAATAAGTTCAAACAAAACAAAAATACTGAAACTCTTTTAATTAGAATTGGGAATAAGGCAGTGATACTATCACCACCATTATCCATCTAGTTTTTGAGCTTCTTCTAGATTGGTATAAAATAAGGAAATAAGTTGGTTTATGGTTTGAGAAAAAAGAGACATGACCATCATCTTTGCAGATGATTATGATTGTATACCCCAAAAATCGAAGAGATAAAAAAATACTGTAATAAGAGATTTTGGTTAGACAGAGGGATATAAAATAAATATTCAATAATTATAGCCTCTCTATATTATCGATAATAAATTAGAAATATAAAACTGAAAAAATACCTCATTCACAATAGTATAAATATTGACATATCTACAAAATAAATTAAGGAGAATAGGACCCATATGAGAAAAATGATAATACATTGTAAATATAGAGCAATAATGTATAACTCTTAACCCTCTGCCAGGCACTATTTTAAGTATATTAAATATATTAACTTATTTATTTCTTACATCAATCCTACAAGTTACTATTATTGTCATCATTTTGCTAGGCTCAGAAAAGTGTTAATTTGCCTAGAATCACACAGCTAACTAAGATCTGCATCTTATTCTTGGTTGGAAAACCTTAATATAAAATTTACTACTTTTTCCAAAACAAATTTGTAAGGTGGTCTTTTTTATTTTTAACTAGATAAAATTGTCTTAAAGTTCTTATGAGGATTAAATGTCTAAGGATAGTCAAATAAATTATGGGAAAAAAGATTCAGGTATAGCATTTTATTTCAATTGGGAATGCATGGTTTATTGAATAAATAATGCTGATAATTAACAGACCTTCTGCAAGAAAACAGATCTTTTGATAGCCGGATTCAAGAATAAATTTCAGGTGGATTATAAATATTTAAATTTAAAAAGTGACAATTTTAGAAATAAAATTAGGAAAATATTTGTATAAACATGTGTTGGGGAGCCTTGCTTAAAACAAGTAAGAAAAACCAAAGCATAAAGTATTTTTTAAAACTGTCAATGTATAATGTAAAAATAAAACATGTTATTTTTAAGAAAAAGTATTTGTAACACAAATGACAAAGGGAAAGAATGAGTTAAATGTGTATTTATTAACATAGAGGCACAGCCATGATGCATCATTAGCTTAGAAAAGCTGAATAATGAGTATATGATTCCATTTCATGTTAAAAAAAATAACCAAAACTCCCAACCTCTACTATTATTACATATTTGTATAAGCATGGAGAAAGGTGTGGAAGAATTGCAAATAACATCACAGATACAATGAAAAATACAAATAGCATGAGTTACCTTTGTATGACCTTTTGCTGTAGTTTGCTTTAGAGTGTTTCATTTATTTTAATGGTCATGTATTAGTTTGTTATTTTAAACTTATTTTATTTTTTATGAGGCAAACCTCTCAACTCCTTAGCTTTTGCATTCCTTTACAATCAAGCATTTAAAAAGTACAATACTAGGCCCTTTGCTAATTGGCAAGAATTGTTATTTGAGTTAGGTTCTGTTTCTACCATTAGGGACCTTGCATTTTAGCCAGAGAAATGGATTCAATAGATACAATGGAAGCTAATTAAAATAGTTAAAAATAATTTTTTTAGTTAAAAAAATCAAAATATCACCAATAAGAACTAATTAATCAAGGCTTTTTATTAAAATTAAAATGATGACTAAAGATAACCAGTGAATGCCCAGATCATCATTAGGCAAAGAACACTTTGACTCAAACAAGAGACCTGTGTATTAAACATCTTTCATACATAGATTTAGAAATCATATCTCTTGAAATGTAGAATCAGATGCCATCCTGCCAAGACAGCTACATGCAAAAAAAAAATTCCTCCCTGTCCAAGACAACCCTGTCCCATAGGTCTTACTTATTTAAGGAAATGTCCTCAGCATGAGCCATTCAGGTTGGTGTGTGCTATAGAGCCAAGCAGCCTTTGGATATGAGTGGAGGCTTAGGCTAAAGTGACTGAGGGATGCAAGGAGGGATTCAGAGGAATAAAGGGCTCAGCTAAAGCAATGAGATACTATTTCCACCTCTTTTTAGCACAGCTACAACCCAAATGATTCCTCCCTTCATCCTTAATGCCCTGACCAACTGTGAACCTGATGCTTAGCCTGATTGCAGTCCCAAATCCCTCTTCCCTCTTTCTCTCTTTCCTCCCCCTCTTCCTTTCCTTCCTTGTTCTCTCCATTTTCCCTCCCATCCACTCTTATTACTATTAAATTAAAAATTACCCTAATTTCATTATTGTACAGTTAATTTGATCTTATAATATTATGGGACCATATTCTAATATTAAAAGCTGACTTCTTTTATATGCTCTATGATTGCTTTTTCTACCAGGGGTGATATACTATGCTTAAAATAAATTTAGCAATTATTTTGTAAACATTTCAATATAAAAAAGGCAGTAAAACCTCTAGGTTTTTGTGTAGGTTATAAGGCCAGGTTTTCTGGGATCAAATATTACTAGCTTTGTGCCTTTGGGGAGCAAATTGCTTTTCTTTCTAGGTCTCAGTTTCTCAAATGTAAATGGGAATAATAATCACTGACCTATTTCATTTTGTTGTTATGGAATTAAATGAGTTAACTCATATGAAGTGGGTAAAACGTTGCCTGGCATAATAAGTACTTAAGAAATACTGTGTTTGCTATTAAAGTTAAATTATAATTCATTAATTTAGCAAATATTGACCAAATACCTACCAGTGCCAGATGTTATCCTAAGTGATGGGAATAGGTATTTTTCTTAAACGTCTAGTGTTGGTAGGCGAGGGGGATATAACAGTGAATAAACTCTTACCCTCTTAGTGCTTATAATACTATTAATGATAGTTATTTACTAAAGTTTGAGGCTATCTTTATAAATGTGATTGACCTTTGTTTGTTTGTTTTACTTTTAAATTTAGGATATCTTGTATTATGAGCAGCTTAAGACCAATGTGATACAACATGACCTTTTGGTGGACAGCCTAATTTATAAAGTAAGTAAAAGTAAGCTTAGTTTTCCTATTTAATTAATATAATTAAAAATTGAGGGTCTTCAATATCCAGGACATGCACTACATACAATGATGCATATTAACTTTCAAAAATAATTTTAAGTGACCATTAGATTTATACCTAAAGTTTATACCTTAAAACTTTAAAGTTAGCCTTCAAAATTTGCAGTTAGCTTCCAGTGCTGTCTTTTTTTCCTTTGAAGCTGTCCTCGTGATCTTATGCTAGTCCTCCCATTTATAGCCGGGCTCGGTGTCTCAGCCTGTAATCTCGCGCCTTTGGGAGGCTGAGGTGAGTGGATTGCCTGAGCCCGCGGGTTCGAGACCCGCCTGGGCAGCGAGACCTCACCTCTACAATAAATCAAAAATTAGCTGGGCGTGGTAGTGCATGCCTGTAGTTCCAGCTACTTGGAAGGCTGAGGCGGAAGGATCGCCGGAGCCCAGCAGGTTGAGGCTGTGGTGGCTGGGAACGGCCACTGCACTCCAGTCTGGGCGGCAGTGAGACTCCAACTCAAAAAACAAACAAACAAACAAAATGAAAATAGGCATTTCTTGTCATTGTAAGTTAAAGTTTTCCACACAAACCAAATAAAAAAGTAACTGAAAAGAAAATCAGACTATAATATTTCTGTCTTATTTATCTCATGTTTTTAAAAATTTTAGACTCAGTTGGTATATGTGCAGGTTACATGGATGTATTGCATGATGTTGTCTCTTATGATTCTTTAAGACCTCCTTGTTTAGTCTCTCTGTATTGAAATCATTTAAAATTTTTAATTTCTTTTAGTTTCTAGACATATGGCTTACATATATCTCAAGTTTTTTGGTAGGAATACATAGCATTTTTGCCTCCAAGCACCTGATAATTAAGTTGAGTACTCTCTGAGTTGTACATGCTTTAAGCATGATGTGGGACATGACTAATCCTGAAGTAACATTAAGCTGTTTAAAAGAGTTGGATTTTAAATTCAGAATTTGAAAGATAGACAAGGGCCTATTATTCCAGGTCTCAGAAATGGGAGAAAGAAGACTGAGGACACACATTGAGAAGGCAAAAATTTGTCTGAGTAGAACATGGCCAAGGGTAACAATAGTAACTACTAATATTTGATGACTGCTTACTATATGCCACATAGTGTTCCAAACCCTTTATATAGATTATTATTTAATCCTGGCAACTACTTCAGAGTAGCAAATGTCAGAATTTAGGTTATCAATGATAAATGCATTATTTTCTAGAAGGAATAAAACTCACTTTCTTAAAATCATGCATTAAAAATAACAGAGCTTTTAAGGAAAACAGTTGTGGTAGACCCACTAAAAACTTGCAACTTTGTAACCAGAGTACTAACCAAAAAACTACAGTTGGTAGCTTGGGAAAATACTCAGCTCAGGCATGCTGCTCTGGAAGAAGCTATTAAAATGTACAAAAATTATACAATAGAAATGCTAAAATAACGCAAATGGAAGTGGTGCTCTGGGACACTGGTGCTGCTCAAGGTGCCCACAAGATGAGGTGCAGCAACTGAGAAATGTGCCAGGTTGAGGGTGTGCCAACACCTGTTTTTAATTTTCTTAAAACTTATCTGTAAAGGCCCATGCTTGTGCAACAGCTGAGCTGAAGGCATTTTCTTTTTCTGCTGAAGGTTGCAGTCCTACTCCTGCTGCTCTACTTTCCCTTGCTTAAGAAAAGTAGCATCTGAACCAACACATTCACCATTGTATATTGACATAATTTCCTTACTTACCAACCACATATCAACAATCAACATGTATTATAGCAAAACAGAAAGAACTGTTATTTTACCACTTTACAGATAAGGGAACTGAGGTAAAAAATATAAAAGATACATGTTTAAATTCACTTATTAAGTAGCAAAGTCAAGATTTGGACATAAGTAATCTGATTTCAGTACCATATTCTTAACCACCACACTAAACAGAAAGAGAATTTAGAGAACACAGTCCTTTGGTGAAAAGTCTTGAATCTCACAAAGGTTTTACACTAGATTTGGATCACAGATACTACTATTAATGTTGAGGACAAATTTTCATACTCAATCAATTATTTTAGCAATAGCATAAGGGATCTTTTAACATTTTTTCTATTGAAATGAAAGGAAACTCACAAGTGAAAAAGTTCAAAAAGGCAGAAAGTGCCAGCATGAGAGTTCTCTGCTGCCAATATGAATTTTGGTTTGACTCAGTGAAGAAAATCTGTTGCCAGAAAGAAGTAAACAGTTTGTGCCCGTGGAATTGAATGTAAGTTTGGATAGCATCAATCCTGTGCACAACATGAATGTTTTTAGAAAGATATTTGTCTCTGGTTGTTTTTGGCCTATGTTAGTTGGAGGAGTTCACGATGTAGAAAAATCAATATTACTAGCCTCCAAGTAACAAGCAGTGACGTGCAAGTGAATAATCACAAAGGCATGGAAAGTATTTCGTATTGTGAGGAAATGACAAGAATGTGGACTTGAACAGTGATATCGGAATTTGGAGTCAGATTGTCAAGTTTCCTTCTGTATGTTATTATTGCATTCACTTTTTCTTTTCCATCTTTAAGACACCTAAATTTTAGATTAAAAGGAAATAAAATTGAAATAAATAATAAAAAATTAATAATAAAGAATTAATAATGAACTTTACGAAGTGTGAAGAATTTGAGGTCAAATAATGTGCCACATGTATTAGTAAAGTGAATATATAGCAATGATAAAATCTAACTGAAAATTTATAATCATAAAATAATGAATTCATTGCAATAATTATTGTAAATACTATGTGTATGCTTTATCGCTACAGATATATTCATTTGGGTTCTTTTCAGTGGTTTCTACTTTTAATTATAGGATGTGAAATTGACAGCAAGCAATGATGATTATTATTTTGTATTTGAAGATTACTTATATCAGGTAAGTTTTAAAACTAAAATGCATAATTTTCTTGCTTTAGGTTCTCTAAATCATGATACTTTATTCCTTCTAAAATCCACATCATATTTATCAGATGAAGTGTTCTAAGTTTATGATATGGTTAACTTTTGTTTCTACTGTGGGACTGATTACAAGGGAGAATAAGAATCCCCAACAAGTGTTTGGACTGCTCCTTTTAGTCACGCATGCTACAACCAGGATGTATTGGCAGGTAAGTTTTATATCTTTTTTTGGCACAAATTTGTAAATTGGATATCAAATTCCTGTTTGAGCCATTCTAAAATGTTCAGGAAAAGCATTTTTCTTTTTGTAAAGATATTGAATAAATGTTTTGAAATCAATTTGGAGTGTCATGATTACTCTTTGATTATTTCATGTGCTGATATTGTGGATACCTGTATCCTTACCAAGGTCTTTTTCATATATAGTGAAGTAAAATCATTTATTATAAATAGAAAGTTATAATTTAAACAGAATTGCCCATGTGGTTTTTTTCAAAGAATAGTTACACATACATAATAACTTGATTTTGATTGATGTTGATATGAATGCTGTGGAGGAAATATCTAGATTTTACATGGCAATTTCTACTTGATTAAACGTAATAAGTCCCAACTGTTTGAGTGAGCATGTTTTTATTTGGTCATGGTGTTGGTGGAATATATATATATGTTGAAGAGAGAAGGTAAAATTAAATAAGACTCACAAGAAGGTTAAATTTATCATACATTCCAAGAGCTGAAGTATGAAGACTTAATAAAATTTATTTATAAAATTACCCCAGAAACAATTTAAAGTGATTTCTGTGATTTAAAATGTATAATTAATTTTTTGTTTTTAGAAATAATAAGTATTTAAAGTTACATTTTAATTTGTAGTTAGTTATTAATTAAAAGTTGGTAAATTAAAAAGTAAACAACTAAATAAAAGTTGGAGAATACAAAGATCTTCTAAAAGTTTATGTAGCTAGTATGTAGTTCTATGCCTAATTCTTAGTACTCAGTGCATTTTTTAATCTACAGTCATACCTCATTTTATTGTGCTTTGCTTTATTGTGCTTCATAGACATTGTGGGTTTTTACAAATTGAAGGTCTGTGGCAACCCCATGTCAAGCAAGTCTGTCAGTGCCATCAGTATGTTTCTGTGTCACATCGTGGCCATTCTTACAATATTTCAAACTTTTTCATTATTATTATATCTGTTAGGATGATCTGTGACAGTGATCTTTGATGTTATTATTGTAATTGTTTTGGGATGCTACAAACCATATCTAAATAAGATGGCAAATTTATAAATGTATTTTCTGATTGTTACACTGACTGACCATTCCCTTGTCTACCTTCCTTTCCTTGGGCCTTCCTACTTCCTAAGATACAAAGAAATTAGGTCAATTAATAACTCTACAGTGGCATCTAAGTGTTCAAATTAAAGGAAGAGTTGCACATCTGACTTTATTTCAAAAGCTAAAAATGTACTAGTTTACACTCCCACCAACAGTGTAGAAGTATCCCTTTTGACTGTACCCTCTCCAGTATCTGTCGTTTTTTGAGTTATTGACGATAGCCATCTTGACTGGAGTTAGGTAGTATCTCAGTGTAGTTTTAATTTGCATTTCTTTGATGACTAGTGAGACTGAGCATTTTTTCATGTATCTGTTGGCTGCTTGTATGTCTTCTTTTGAGAACTATCTATTCATATCTTTTGCCCACTTTGTAATGGGGCTGTTTGTTTTTTTCTTTTTGGCATGTTTGAGTTGCTTGTAGATCCTAGATGTTAGGCCTTTGTCAGACATACAGTTGGGAAATATTTTTTCCCAGTCTGTGGACTGTCTCCCTGCTCTCTTGATGGTTTCTCTGGCTTTGCAGAAGCTTGTCAGTTTGATGAGGTCCCACTTGTCTATCTTATCTCTTATGGCATGGGCACTTGGGGTTTCAGTCAGGAATTGGTTGCCAGTTCCAATTTCCATAAGGGTGTCTACTGCATTTTCTAAGGTTCTTATAGTATAGCCTCTGTGGAAAACAGTGTGGTAATTCCTAAAAGATCTAAAAATTGACCTTCCATACGACCCCTCAATCCCCCTACTGGGAATATACCTGGAAGAACACAAATCGCTCTATAAAAAAGATACCTGCACATGTATGTTTATCACAGCATTGTTCACAGTAGCAAGAACATGGAACCAACCATGCTGCCCATCAAAAGAGGACTGGACTAAAAAAAATGTGGTACATATACATGATGAAATATTTTGCAGCCATAAAGAACAAAATCATGAAATTCACAGCAACCTGGATGGACTTAGAGCCTATAATACTGAGTGATCTTTCACAGAAACAAAGAACTGAGTATAACATTTTCTCACTCATAAGTGGACCTTGAACAATTACTGTAATACTTTAAGAAAAGGATTGATGGTAGCGGGAAACTGCCAGAAGGGGTGCGGAGAAGCAGGATTGGCAGTAGTGGGAATCTGCCTGGGGAAGTGGGGGCACACCTCATCAACAAGGGTACCTGCATAATGATCATTTGTATACCTAACCCTGAATTGTACCCCACATCTTTAAAATAAAAAAATTAAAATTAAAAAAAAACTAAAAATGACTATGTTTAGTGAAGAGGGCATGTTGAAAGTGAAGGTAGGCCAAAAGCCAAATAGCCAAGTTATGAATGCAAAGAAAAAGTTCTTGAAGAAAATTAGAAGTACTAATGCTGTGGAAGAAATATCTAGATTTCTTAATGTTTGTATGAACACATATTGTTGATATGGAAAAAGTTGTAATGGTCTGAATAGACGATCAGACTACCCATAACATTCTTCTAAATTAAAGTCTAATCCAGAGCAAGGCTCCAACTCATTCAATTCTATGAAGGCTGAGAGTGGTAAGGAAGCTGCAGAAGAAAAGGTGGAAGCCAACAGAGGTTGGTTCGTGAGGTTTAAAGAAAAAAGCACTCTCCATAATATGAAAGTACAAGGTGAAGCAGCAAGTGCTGATGTATAAGCTGTAGCAAGTTATTCCAAAGCTCTAGGTAAAGTAATTGATGAAGGGAGCTACACTAAAGAACAGATTTTCAATGTAGATGAAACAGCTTTACACTGGAAGTACATGCCATCTAGGACTTTGACAGCTAGAGAGGATAACTCACTGTTTGGCTTCAAAGCTACAAAGGATAGGCTGACTCTTTCATTAGGAGTTAATGCACCTGTGACTTTAAGTTGAAGCCAGTACTCATTTGCCATTTCAGAAATACTAGGACTCTTAAAAATTATACTAAATCTGCTCTGTCTGTGCTCTATAAATGGAACAACAAAGCCTGGAGACAGCATATCTATTAATTGCATAGTTTACTGAATATTTTAAGCCCACTGTTAAGACTTACTGTTTGGCAAAAAAAGATTCTTTAAAAAATATTATTGCTCATTGACAATGTACCTGGTCATCCAAGTGCTCTGTTGGAGATATACAAGGAGAATAATGTTGTTTTTATGCCTGCTAACAGAACATCCATTCTGCAACCCATGGATCAAGGGGTCATTTTGATTTTCAATTCTCATATATGTAAGAAATATTTTTGTAAAGCTATTGATTCCTCTGATAGATCTGGGCAAAATAAATTGAAAACCTTCTGGAAAGGATTCACCGTTCTGGATGGCATTAAGAATATTTGTTATTCTTGAGAGGAGGTCAAAAGATCAATATGAACAGGCGTTTGGAAGAGTTGATTCCAATCTTCATTATGACCTCGAGGAGTTCAAGACTTCAGTGGATGAAGTAACTGCAAATGTGGTGGGAATAGCAACAGAACTAGAATTAGAAGTGGAGGTCTAGCGTGGTGGCTCAAGTCTGTAATCTCAGCACTTTGGGAGGCTGAGGCAAGAGGATTACCTGAGCCCAGGGGTTTGAGACCAGCCTGGGCAATCTCTACAGTATATCAAAAAATTAGCCAGTCATGGTAACACACGCCTGTAGTTCCAGCTACTTGGAAGACTGAGGCGGAAGGATTACCTGACCCCAACAGGTCATGCTGGGATGGCCATGAGCATGCCACTGCACTCCAGACTGGGTGACAGAGTGAGACTGACTCAAAAACAAAAAAAAAGAAGTGGAACCTGAAGATGTGACTGAACTGCTGCAATCTCATGTTAAAACCTGAATGAATGAGGAATTGCTTCTGGATGTGCAAAGAAAATAGTTTCTTGAGATAGAATCTACTCTTGGTGAAGATGTAAACATTGTTGAAATGACAACAAAACATTTAGAATATTGCATAGACTGTTGATAAAGCAGTGGTAGGGTTCAACTAACTCCAGTTTCAAAAGAATGCTATAAAAGAGAGAAATCCTTCAGGAAAACAGAAGTCAATCAATGTGGCAAACTTCACTGTTGTCTTATTTTAAGAAATTGCCACAGCTTGGCTCATCCTTCAACAGTCACCACCCTCATCAGTCAGCAGCTATCAATACTGAGGCAAGACCAACTACTTTTCCAGAAAAAAGATCACAACTCACTGAAAGCTCAGATGATCATTAGCCTTTTTCAGCAATAAATTATCTATTATTATGGCATCTACATTTTTATGACATATGCTATTGCATACTTGATAGACTACAGTGTAGTATAAGCATAACTTCTATATGTACTGGGAAACTAGAACATTCATGTGAATTGTTTTGTTGTGATACTCACTTTATTACAGTGTTCTGGCACTGAACCTGCAATGTCTACAAGGTATGCCTGTATAAATAAAATTAATTCTTCATTTATACAGCAAATACAAGTTTATTGATAACCTCTGTACATCAGAATTATAGAACAGAAATTATCACTTCCAGAATAGTAGTATGAGGAGCTTTATTTCCTACAGAAAAACCATAGTGAAAACTGTGCCCCCCCCCCAAAAGCATTTAAAGTATCTGGGAATTATTCTAAGGTTATATAACAAGTCAGCAAACGAAGAAACCTTTATTCAAGAAAAGCTA